AGGATACTTCGTCCACTTCAAGTATGTCCTAGCTGGACTCGCTGTCCCCTTCAAGTATGTCCCAACAGAACACTCCGTCAATGTCAAGTATGTCCTAACAGGAAACTCGGAACACATCAAGTATGTCCTAACAAGAGTGAAGTGAAATTGGGTTTAAAGTCGTCCTTGGGGATTTTTCGCTCATATGACGACATGCATGCGTGTGTATGTGTATGTGAGGCTGATTGTACTAGCCCAGTCTTAAACTAGCTTTATAGTGCTAGCTCACTGAGATACCATGCCGCAGTGAAGCATGAATACCCCAGTCACCCAGTCCTTTTCGTACCTAATAATGCCGAGCTCCAGGCAGGAACAAACAAGTATCATATTTTAACATCTTTTGGTATGACGCGGTTGGGTAATCGAAAATCTGCAGACGTCAACTATGTCCTAACAGGATACTCCGTCCATGTCAAGTATGCCCTAACAGGATACTCCATCCACGTCAAGTATCTCCTAACTGGAAACTCCGTCCACGTCAAGTATTTCCTAACGGGAAACTCCGTCCAGGTCAAGTATCTCCTAAGTTGAAACTCCGTCCAGGTCAAGTATGTACTAACAGGAAACTCCGAACACACCTCATGTATGTCCTAAGAGGAAACTCCGTCCACGTCAAGTATGTCTAATCTGCACACTCCGTCCACATCAAGTATGTCCTAACAGGAAACTCCGAACACATCATGTATGTCCAACAGGAAACTCCGTCCACGTCAAGTATGTCTAATCTGCGCACTCCGTCCATGTCAAGTTTGTCCTAACAGGATACTCCTGTTGACAGTCTCTACGTTGAGGCTGATGAGCCATCTCTTACACAACGCCGTATAAAATTAACTTTACAGTATATTACAAAACTTTATTCCAATGAGTCAAACCCTGCATATAACTGTGTCTTTAGTCCACTATATGAAGATCTGTATAACAAGAAGCCTTCTCTTGTTCCGCCTCTTGGTATACGAGTGCAACCTTTCCTTTCTGCTAGTGGCATTGAGCTGGAACATATAGCTCCTTCCCGTCTTCTTTCTTCTCCGCCTTGGCAATTGGTTAGGCCACAAGTTGACCTAACATTAACTACATTTAAACAATCAGAAACAAATGAATTACAGTATAAACAAGAATTTAGTCAATTAAGAAATAAATATAATACATACAAATCCTTGTTTACAGATGGGTCCAAGGATGGTGGCGCAGTGGCATGTGCCACTGTTATTGGATCCAGAACAATATCTTCTGGAATACCGGATAACAGCTCTATATTTACAGCAGAAGCAAACGCCATCTTAACAACTCTTAAATATATTCAAAGACATCCCAAACATAAACAATATATAATATTTTCTGACTCTCTTTCTTGCCTTCAGGCTATTAAAAAATTATTTTAATTGAAATAATCGAATTATATAATGATCTTGCTACTGGCCAATGCGACATCGTCTTTTGTTGGTTACCCAGCCACGTTGGCATTTCTGGGAACACGATGGCTGATATTGCTGCTAAGGCAGCCCTCAACAAATCTGTGCCACCACTTCTTATTCCTTACTCTGATTATAAAGCCAGCATTAGAACCTACATCCGTGATCTAATGCAAAAGAAGTGGGACACCCAAGTAGGTATTAATAAATTACATGCAATGAAACCCTACATTGGTTACACCTACTTGGGTTGTCAGTCCAGATTTGAAGAGGTCATTATGCGGCGATGTCACATTGGCCATACTAGATATACCCATGAATATTTGCTTAAAGGCGAAGATCCTCCGTTTTGCATCCCTTGTGATGAAAGAATCACAGTCAAGCATGTCTTGCTTGACTGCATTGAATATTCCATCACAAGGGATCTCCATTTCAAATCCAAAACTCTGAAGGATCTTTTTAATAATGTCAGTTCTCATTTAATTATTGCATTTTTAAAAAAATTAGATTTGTTGAGTGATTTGTAAATAGATATATATTTTATTATTGGTAGTTTAGATTAGCAACTGAGATTGTTAGTGGCTGTATCCTCAAAGGGGTTGAAGTATTGTAAAATTATTGTCCTCCTGAGGAGGGTACGTAAGAGATCCCAAAACATTTAGTCAATCTAAGTGTACCTGCTTTTTAATCGTAGAATAAGTGTGTTTTTAATTTATGGCTCGATGTCTCTTCTGTCGCCAATGGCTGAAGGGATGGTGTAAATCCAACTAGGGTCCATGCAGGTAGCAAAAGTAATGTAAGTCCCCATGGCTCCTAGTCTGGTGATCTACCTTCAGTTGGTGGCGATCTATAGCCCATTTTTATATTGTGTTGTCCCCTATAGTTACTATGTTTTAGATTCAATTACTAGTTTTACATATATATCTGTGATACTCTAGTTGCTTTACTGTCCTTTGTCGGCAGGTTTTTATAATGTCTATATATATATGTTCTTTTTCAATATCAAATGTTCTCGTCACGATATGGCTGAAATATTGCCGATGTGACGTTAAATAATAACTCACTCACTCACTCACTCACCTAACAGGATACTCCGTCCACGTCAAGTATGTCCTAACACGCAAACTCCATGCATGTCAAGTATCTCCTAACTGGAAACTCCGTCCAGGTCAAGTATGTCTCATCTGCACACTCCGTCCACATCAAGTGTGTCCTAACAGGACACTCCGAACACATCATGTACGTCCTTACAGGAAACTCCGTCCACGTCAAGTATGTCCTAACTGGAAACTCCGTCCAGGTCAAGTATGTCTTATCTGCACACTCCGTCCACGTCAAGTTTATCCTAACAGGAAACTCCGAACACATCATGTATGTCCAACAGGAAACTCCGTCCACGTCACGTATGTCTAATCTGCGCACTCCGTCCATGTCAAGTATCTCCTAACAGTAAACTCCATCCACGTCAAGTATCTCCTAACTGGAAACTCCGTCCACGTCAAGTATGTCCTAACTGGAAACTCCGTTCAGGTCAAGTATGTCTTATCTGCACACTCCGTCCACGTCAAGTATGACCTAACAGGTAACTCCGAACACATCATGTATGTCCTAAGAGGAAACTCCGTGCACGTTAAGTATGTCCTAACAGAAAACTCGAGCTCCGTTCATGTGAGGTATCTCCTAACAGGATGCTCAGTACACTATAATTATATCATAACACGAGACTCCGCCCATGTCAAGTATGTCGTAACAAAATACTCCGTCCACGTCAAGTAAGTCCTATGAGGAAACACCGCCTACGTCAAGTATGTCCTAACAGGAAACTCCGTAAACGTTAAGTGTGTCCTAACTGCAAACTCCGTAAACGTTAAGTATGTCCTAACAGCAAACTCCGTCCATGTCAACTATGTCCTAACAAGAAACTCCGTCCACTTCAAGTGTGTACTAACAGGAATCTCCATCCACTTTAAGAATGTCCTAACTGGACACTCTGTCCACTTCAGGTATGTCCCAACAGGAAGGTCCGTCCACGTCAAACTATGTCCTAACAGGATACTCCGTACATGTCAGTATGTCTTAACAGGAAACTCTGTCCACGTCAACAGGTCTATACTAAATATGGCATGCATAACAGGAAACTTTGCAAGCTCAAATATGGGACGCCCTCCGGTATACCTTCTCGAGAGGATGGATACTTAACAAATCGTGACTGCATTACTGATCGAAAACGTCAACTTGGCGATTTGCCTCATGTCCTCCAAGGCGTGTTTCCACATCACTAGCGGTTGCAACATCTTCAAAATCCACTAACGGAGGGTTGTCTTCCCAATTCGTTAGGCATTATTATAAAACTATATACTTAGAAACTAATTAGAAACTCCGCCATGTTTTCTATAATCAAAAGTGTTCTCAAGTATCCCCTACTTGTTTGCAGAGTGTAGGTGTAATGTGAAAAAATGTTTTTATTTTAATTCTTTGTGGTGTGTGGTCGATAAGATTTCCATACTGTATTCGGAAACGTCGATAATATGTTGTATTTCTAGCAAGTCCTAATACCAGCAGACGTTATAGTGTCACCTTTTTGGATTGTTTTCAACATTCAACTTTGTTTAAAGTCTCTGTTTCCCCTGTTTCGTCACTAACCTACTAGCCCTCAGTGTGTTGGGATCTCAAGACTGCAGGATTAGATACATTTCCTGAATCTCACCACTGTCGCTAACGACACTAACGTCACTATCGTCACTAACCTACTAGCCCTCATTCTCTTCCCACAGAGGTTACTTGTCATATCTTCCTACGAACCTCTGTTCTAATACGGCCATATTTCCCGATTCTCGTAAAATCCCCTAGCGGCAAAAGATCGCAACACGAATTATCTCCCTTGTTTCTATCCAATCAGAACACGTGTTACATCGACTTAGATTCAACTTGACTAACACAAGCAAATGTGGGGCCACAAATATCCCCCATCTGCCGGGGACTTGTGTTGATGTAACACACAAGACGTTTAATGGCTAGCTTGTCCGTTGTCAACGAGGGCGATGGAGCCGCCACTGATCCGCCATAACATGACTGAGTTCTGTCTAGAAGAAACGTTTGCGCATCGCGCAGGGGAAGAACTTTAGTTTTCTCGAGAGCATACGGAAATTACCGAGGCCTTGCGAATGATCACTTTTGAAACAACGTCGCTCATTGCACAACTAAATCTGATTGCCTCCAATCACGAGTCTTGAACGCTCACACCATGAAAGGGCCGTTTAGAACAGAGGTTACGTAGGAAGATATGACAGGAGTAACCTCTGTGGGAAGAGAATGTCTAGCCCTCAGTGTGTTGGGATCTCTAGACTGCAGGATTAGATACATTTCCCCAATCTCACCACTGTCGTTATCTAATCTTCGTGATGATTCTTCGTGAACACACACGGTCCATACAGTGGCCTTAGTTATCTTATGTCGCTGTTTACGCCATTTTATAACCGACGGCCTTAAACGGCCTAAAATCCGTTTACTTAATCCTTCAATAGACCAACATAAGTCCTCGTCATTACTTACCATGTGCCAACTGAACCACCAGTAGTGGTACAGGGCACCTTGATGAACGTCCCGAGCAGTTTCTTCTCCATGAGAACGTCCATAGTGACCTGGTTAGCGAGATCGTGTGTGATTTCTCCTTCCAGGGTTACAGTGATGTCTCCCGGCAGCACCACGGGGTTGGGGCTGATATCAAACTTCTTCACCGACATCCAGGAGTCACCGATACCTGACAAGGAAATGCAAATGAAATTTTAATCTCCGTTCGTTACACAAACTAGTCCATGAAAATCATTTGGACGCTCCACCAAAGTCCTGTTGGTCGAGACAGACTCAAACAAGCCCTGTTGGTCGAGACAGACTCAAACAAGCCCTGTTGGCCGAGACAGACTCAGACATGCCCCCGTTGGCCGTGACAGACTCAGACAAGTCCTGTTGGTTGAGATAGACTAAGACAAATCTTATCGGTCGAGACTCAGACAAGTCCTGATATCACATCGATTCATGTCCTACAACAATCAAATTCAAGACATAACAACGTATCAAAAGGTGCCTTACAAATATGATTTAGAATCAGTGTCAGACAGACTGAAAGAAATCCACACGGCTTATCTTGCCAAGCTTGACATTACACATAATCCCATACAATCAAATCGTCTTAAGGGGGGTTAAACCGACATCTGAAGCTGTGGTTTGTACCTTCCGCGAGTCCACTATGTTTCAGTGGGTGAGTGAGTTTTAGTTGTTTTACGCCGCTTTGAATTCTTTATCAGTTATACCACGTCGCTTAAAATTCTATATTATTTATACCACGTCGCTTAAATTTATATATTATTTATACCAAGTCGCATAGAATTCTATATTCTGTACACCACGTCGCTTAGAATTCTTTATTATTTATACCACGTTGCTTAGAATTCTATATCATGTATACCACGTTGCTTAGAATTCTATATTATTCATACCACGTTGCTTAGAATTCTATATTATTTATACCACGTTGCTTAGAATTCTATATCATTTTTATCACGTTGCTTAGAATGCTATATCATTTATGCCACGTCGCTTAGAATTCTATATCAGTTATACCAATTCTATATCAATTATACCACGTCGCTTAGAATTCTATATAAGTTATACCACGTCGCTTAGAATTTTATATCATTTATACCACGTTGCTTAGAATGCTATTTCATTTATGCCACGTCACTTAGAAATTCTACATCAGTTATACCACGTCGCTTAGAATTCTATATCATTTATACCACGTTGCTTAGAATGCTATATCATTTATGCCACGTCACTTAGAAATTCTATATCAGTTATACCACGTCGCTTAGAATTCTTTATCATTTATACCACGTCGTGATGTGTGGAAGAGAAGCCAAACGTTGAGTTTGCACATATCAGAAAAGAATACATCATGAAATATTTCTATTTGAACCCCCGAAAAGGCAAATTCTATACCCTCGTGTTATCTAAAAACCAAACGGTCTCAGAGTATCTTAAAATGTACATATACAATGCAATGAATATTAGATTAGATCCTCTGCATTTAAGATGTGATATTATTTACGATATATTCATGTCAACATCACCTTTTGCTACTGTATGTAGAACGGTACTATAGGCCCATGGCCTTTTCAGTACTGTAAATAAAGATTGATTGATGTGCAAGATTTAGATTTTAACAACTTTGATGACGTCATCACAATGATATGGTATTGCCAAACCTAAAATAGTCTTCGTGGCCAACTTTGGCGAAGGGTACGACCAGCTGTAGTGTGTTCTCGTCACTATACTGCTGACATTGCGATGTTTTAATATTTATTCAATCATTTGACATACCGCAGTCCCTCCACTCCAGATTTCCGGTAGAAGTGAATCCTGGGCGAGCCCCGAGGGCAGGGACGATGAGAGCTACGACCAACAACAGCATGGTAGACCTTTCAGGGACTGAGTAGAACCCGACAGTGTCTGGCAGGTTCTTTATAATCTGCGATTGAGGGCCCACGTGATGTATATTTTTAAAAGCATTCGTTTGCAGGAATTGCACCACGCTGTAGGTCTCCACTCTGGGACTCGGCACATGGACGATAAGATATTGTCTCCTGGATTATGTGCACTGTAGAACGATGAGTGGACACAGTGGACATCTGAATATGTTTATATCCTTGCTTTACTTATTCTGGCAGTATGGCACGTTTTATGGATAGCTTATTATTGTTATTATTATTATGTTTTACAGATTAAGATGGAAAATGCAGCAGAGAGGTTCGGGTGATCCTGGCACAGTCAGGCTGGTAAGGCTCATCAGCAGCTCAGGGCCTCACCCCCTCTACACGCAGCCCAGACAGCGAATGTGAATTCTCCCAGGAAACGCTGCCTAGTCGAATCCAGCAAGAACTTTCCGGAGCATATGTAGACTCCCCAACACTGCAGCCTTCTGCATTACCCAGAATGTCAGAAGGGCTGTACTCCCGGTGGAGAACCCGGGCACTCTCCTGATCTGCGCCAAGAGACACCGAGAACCAAGGGCACCGAGAACAATGGGGAGCCTGACAACAGTGTACTTGGGATGCAAGCGAGACATTTCAAAGGCGAGGTCCGCATATTTAGCATGCTCTTCCTGAATCTTGCCAATCACGTTGCTGTCAATAGGGACAGAAAATTCAATGATATAAATAAATTCATCGGCTTTATGAAAATGGACAAGATCAGGTTTGTTGGCTTAAATTCTTCTGAGGCTGTATATGGGCCTATTCCAGAGAAGTTTGAAAGCACCATTCTTCCATAACGCCCTGGACATGTTCAGGGTCATACCATGGATGGACCTCAGAGTCAAAGCCACAGGTATGGCGGAGACAAGCCATGCCATCATGTCTTTTAAGATATGCTGTTTGTGCCAAGGATGAGCATCCACTGACAAGGTGTTGGACAGTCTCTGTACATTCATTGCAAAGTCGACATTTCATATTAATATTTTCTTTAAGAATCACATTTTGGCGATTGCGAGTGGAAAGTGACTGGTCTTGGGTAGCAAAAGCCATCAATTTCACATTTAAGACCAGCCGACTTCATCCAGGCAAAGGAGATAAGCCAGTCAAATTAGCAAAAAGGTCGGAAAACAATGATGACGAAATGAAACTTAGCAGATATGTTCTACAAATCTTCCTTCGTAACATAGTAAAAGTCCCCTAAAATCCCACTTGAGCTACATCCATATTGCACGTGCAAACATGGCTACCCTATGCAACCTTTTGCTAACCTAGAAGACCACTTGCGCTTGATAAAATAGTCAAAAACTTCTTTATTTCTGTACATAAGTACATAAATGTTTGACAACTGAGGGAATATATCTCAAGATTATTGACTATTATTTCAGAAAGAAAAAATATTTCAGAGTTGTGGCCCTTTTTTGTGCTAAAAATATAATTGTTATATGTTTTTACCCTGGGTGACATAAAGACCTATAGGTATGATAAGGCTTAGATATGACCATAAGATCTTGAAGTGTATTGTTCAATGTCTTTTTCACCACAAACCACGAAAAAAAAACTTAATGAAATCATATTTTTACAGTTTGACTGAAATTGAAAATTTGCAATCCTTTGGCATTTTTAAAAGTCAATGAAAACACAATAACGTGTTTGAAGCTGCCCTGTTAATGGCCCAACAATTGCAATAATTTGATTTTTTACACTCAAAAATCAAGTAAGTGAAATTTTGATACTGATATCAAAGAATACCAAGACAATCAAACACCATTTACAGATTATGTAACAGGGCATCTTCAAACATGTATGATAAAAGATCTAAAAAGATATATTTCTTTTCCTTGTCAGTCTGGAGGAAGTTGAAGGCTGTAGCTCACCTTCAACTTCACTCTCATCAGCGTCGCTGGTTGACAATTCATGAGATGCTTCATCAGATGGTAGTTCATGATCTTCTTCATCATCCTCTGCAAGGTATACTGTGTTTGCATTGCTGCGACTACCCTGACAGTATCCACATAGACGCGAACAGTTCAATCCTGCCTTTCTCTACCCACACATACGCTCACACCCTGTTTTACAATTGCATTTGATCATGTTGATCAATGTCTCTGGTGCTGCGGGGTGGGGGTGGCGGGTGTCACGGGTTGTTACTGGCTTGAGCTGGCCACAAACAGTTTGCCATCCCCATTCATTTGGTGGAAGACTTCTTCCAAGCCATTGCTGCACTTGCAGATAAAGCCTCGGGCAATGTTCTCTCGCCGCTGCCGATGTAGGTGGCAAGGCAAATAGCTGCATTTGTGTGTGAATGGGACACTTGGCAAAGGCTCTTGTGAAACAATGATATCTGTGCTCATTCAGGGATTTAACAGACTTGGGTGCTCCATACAATGCCAATAAGAACTACTTGACAAAAACTGAAAAAAGAGCACATTAATAAGATTTGGGAATAATTATTTTATGATTTTGAGATTATTGTAATGAATAAACACTTCTCCTTGCCGGATACTGATAATTACAGCTAAAATATGCATGTTTTGTTTGTAAAGCAATTTTTATAGCATTTTAAACATTTCCTTTTTTTTAGGTTTACTGTAACCTTTTCTCAATCTTAGTTTACAAACTTTCATCCATTCACAATAAATAACGAATTTATAGGCCACACAACAATCAATTATTACTTTCCCTTTTCAATATAACGTAACTTGTTTCAAGACAGAAAAACAACTGTTTTAAATACAGGCATCTATCCTAATTAAAGTACATGGTAATTTCAATGATGTTTTCGTTTTTGAAATAATGTTAAATGCCTACTCTATCAAATTAGAAAGTTTATTTTATAGAAAGAGTTTAGAATTTCATTTCAGACAAAATTAATTGGTAAGAATACAGGGTGGTGCTTATTTTATGCAGAGATGCAGAATCGCAAGTAATGTGTTCTTTCCCTACAAGTCCACTACTCAAGGAGACCAGTTACCTGTCCTTGTTCAAATGGAGAATGAGTTAATAGCCATTCAATCAGCTTGTTAACGTCACTGGTGTCCCTCTCAATTCTAGACGTCCTTAGTTCTACGTGCTGGTCAACACTTCAAAATCTGGTCCCACAGGATTCTTCGAAGTACTCATTCATTTCAGTACAACCAGGCAATGTCAAGATAACCTTTCGTTTATATTAACTTGATTTAGTCACTAAAGACTCGAAAGTTGGCCTCACTCACTCATTCCCAAGATCCATTGCGCCAACACACTGTCTGTCAGTCCTCGACCACGTGTGACACCACCGGGTGTCTTCATCGCCCGTATGAGAACCTGTTCAATTGTCATGTCTGTCCAGATGCCAGCCCGCATCTCTGGGCATAATATCTCTCAGTTGTGAAACCTGTTGAACATACACATGGGCACTTTTGGCATAAGCAGTATGTCCTGCAGCATGAAAATGTGGTATCATCTTAAGGCAGCATCAAGATGAAGATCCCAGTCTCTGATCCTTTCAGCTCGAATGAACTGGTGTATCAAAGAAACTTGCTCAAAATATTGACACCACAACTTGGCAGTTCTGCTTTCATACAGCTTTCTCATATAGAGGTTGTTCAAATGTCACCAAACATGTTTTCTGTCCATGTTTCCTGCATTTGTCAACAGAATATGTCAGCACAGAATATATTGCGTGTGGATTCGATGCCTGCAAGTTGACAAATGGCAATGGGATCACTTTGGATCCTTCATAATTGTCAACCCTTCTGGCACACTCCATGTATTAACTCCAGCAGGGAGTGTCCTCCAATTTCAACCATACTCCACGCATCAAAAGCGTATCCAAAAGACTATGCACAGAGCTAAAAGAGGTCAGCTTTCTGACATTGGAAATGTCATGAACAGTCAAACCAAGCAAACCTTTCTTGCTCTGAAATGAACAAGTCAAAATATCAATTGACTTGGACCTGACATTGTCTGCTGAAACAGCTTTGTTACGCTTGATAACATCAGATATACAGACAGAACTACCTGGTGTGACGCACATGATTCCACCCATACTATGAAATGTGCCATATCCATCAAGTGTGCGAACATTAAAATCTGCATTGTCAAAGACAAATTGCTTGCAGGCATTTTCACCAATCTCATGATCTGCAGCCATTGCAGAATGTTCATAGGAAATAGCCTCATTATATGATGAACACACTCCCAAGGCAACCATAACATCCAGAAGGTGCTTAGATCCAATTTCTCGGTGAATATACACGGCTAAACCAAGTTGTATCTTAGAAAGGAATGATCTTTCTCTTGTTGCTGAGAGTATTTGGTGACAAATAACAGATGCCTTCAATAACAGCTCGACCCCACACATCACCACGATATTCAGCCATGTCAAGAATGGAATCTTTGGAACTAATCGTTCGAACATCAAAAATATCCCTCTTGTCTTTAGGTCTCTGAAACTATATCACAAATTTCTCCACAGAACAAGCAATTCATTTTGAAATTGAAAGGTGACAGTGATGATCTTAAGGAATTCGTCTTTCGAGGTTAGAGATTCACAGCTGCTAAAATAGAAGATTCACGAGTGTAATCTTTGCGGCAGTTTACATGAACTGAAACTGAAGTTATTCCAGATACTTTTACAGCAATTCCATCTTTGCGCCTTATACTACTTTGCAGTAAGGTAGTTAGACCTCTTGTGACGGTGACAATATCACCTGGAGATGAACTTTTGCTGTATATGATACAACACGCTGTCCGTGGAACTAGCAGCTTGAAATGTGATATGCTTCAGTATGTAATTGCTAGAGACCCCCTAAAACCTATCTTGAAGAGAGAAGATGGAAGCAAGGATAGAAATGTTGTGAGAAGCACATGCAATCGATTTCAAACATCAAATCAAACTAGAAACTTTAGAAAACTGTTACTGCATTTGCTTCAGTGAATGGTAATACCAGAGGCCTTCTCAAATCACTTGGAAGAGAAAGGGCTGTGGCAAGATATGTATTCCTTACCAACCAAGT